GAGAATCGCCACTCGAAAGGATAACACCACCCTCAGTGACAACAACCTTGCAAAGTATGCCTGCGTATTTTATAACAACCTTTAAGGTTTCAATATACGCACAAAAGGAGGTGTTTCGTATTCAAATATTCGCTTGTATATGTGTATATATATACCGTCTATATACCACGGTATATATATGTGTGTATATACCGCGAAGCCGAACCACAATATCATTGGAGTGACTAGAAGAATAAGAATGGAGTGGAGCACATTCGGCAAGCACTCTCAAATTATGACAGGTAGATTGCCACTATCCCTCAAGAGGAAGGTATATAACAGCTGTATTTTGCCGGTACTTAGCTACGCAGCAGAAATCTGGAGGCTTACATAGAGGGTTCAGCTTAAATTGAGGACGACGCAGCGAGCAACGGAAAGAAAAATGGTAGGTGTAACCTTAAGAGACAGGAAAAGAGCAGAGTGGATTAAAAAACAAACCTGGGTTAAGGATATCATAGTTGAAATCAAGAAGAGGAAATGGACATGGACCGGGCATGTATCGCGTAGACAGGATAACCACTCGTCAATAAGGATAACTAACTGGATTCCCAGAGAAGGCAAGCGGTTTAGGGGGAGACAGAAGGTTAGGTGGGCAGATGAGATTAAGAAGTTTGCGGATATAAATTGGCAGCAGCAAGTAGAGGACCGAGTTAATTGGCGGAACATGGGAGAGACCTTTGTCCTGCAGTGGACGTAGTCAGGCTGATGATGATGATGATGATGATGATGATGTGTATATGCGTTCAAACTTTCCAGACATCGAAAACACAGTGTATACGCCTGTTTTCGAGTCAAGCTATTATTTCATTTAAGAGCAAACATATTTAATAATAATAATAATAATAATAATAATAATAATAATAATAATTAACAAAAGAAAAAAACTTTATTACAAATTTGATAGCACAGCAGTGCAATACGAACTCCGCTTTCCAAGGCTTCAGTGGGCTTGAAAAATACAGATGACAGTCAACAAAAAAAAGGAATTTATTTATCTAAAACCTCACAACTGCAGTATTTTTTTTCTTTGCGCGAATACATGCAAAATATAAACGGAAGCTACTATTCATGTTCCAATTTTAGCACAAAGCCCAAGCATGCAGTGTTGCTACGTTTGGTATCTTTACGGCATCGGTCTATGCACATTTTTGCAAAAAAAAAAAAAAAAACGATTTCTAGAATCAACTTCTAGAATCGACTTTCTAGATTCCGACTTTTCACCAACTCGATCAACAAAAAGCTCCCGGAATTCGCCAATATATTCATTGAAGTATTGTCCCGTAGTTGTGGAGGGGCAGTTGAAACAGTAAAGATTCGGTTATGGAATAGGTGAGCTTTGGTCCAGTGAAAACGAACACCGAAAGTGCGTAATAATAATTTCTGGCATGTTCCGGGCCAAAACCACGATATCAAATTTAAACCACCTCGTTATTTAACATCCAATGCCACCGCACTGACCTCGAGCATTCGACTCCATCAAAATGCGGCCGCTGTGGCCGGGATTCGAACGCGTGACCTTCTGGTCAGCAGTCAGGAACCACAACTGCTAAACCACTGTAGAGGCCGGTTCTCTACACGACCGAATGTTCCATTCGTTTAGACTTCTGCATTTCTCGATAGTGACACCGTAATTGGTAAAGCGAATTTCTGGATGGGCTGCCGTATTCCGAAACCACCATGATAATTACTAATTACTTTTTCTCTGTTCAAAGCAGCACGAGAGTTGATGATGTATGACTTTTTTTTTGGTGAGAAGACCACGCTGTTGATATATTTTAATAGTGCCGACAATCACACAAGGAAACAATTTTTAATCATATACACGCCCAAAATGTTTATTGAACGGTTACGTATGGTGCCGACAGCTCCTGTAGAGTTCACTTGGCCGCTTCGTCATCCCGGCCTTGTTCCCAACTAGGGGTACCCATGCCGATCGCACTAGCACCCTCGAACATGGCCAGTATCACCATCGCTGAACCGAAGGCATCTTGTGAAGAACTAGCTGTTTCAGAAGTGCGCGGAAAAATTGACGGCATGTCTCACTTCTCGTAGCATTTGAAGGTTAAAGCCTGCCGCTGCACACATGACAATGCAATAAGTTGTGCTGTTGGGGTCAAGGCCTCCTTACAAGTCGTAATATACCACAGTGTAAGACACATACACTAAACTACCTTGCTGGATTCTCAGTCGATTGCGTTGTTACTCCGTCCCCCCCCCCCCTTCCAATGAAGTAACGTGCAACTTGACGATAGTTATAGCGCGATACCAAAACAACGACACAGAGACAAGAAGACGACACAGAGACGAGAAGGTCTTTCGTGTCCTTGTCTCTGTGTCGTCGCTTTGGTCTCGCGCTATAACTATCGTCATGCCATACCAACTAGCCCAAGCTGCCACACTTCTAACGTGCAACTTGCGTAGTGTTGCGTGGCCTCTTGGATCGGTACACCTTTGACCAAGCGGTCACGTCATGCGATGACGTCATTTCGTGACACCATGACGACGCAGAGATTCCGGAGATCTCAGAAGTCATGGTGCTCGGCAGCAGGCGGTAACATTGGTTTTGCGGACGGAGCTGACGAAAGTGTCGCGCAACCTCGCAAAGCCGACCCTGCGGCGCGGCGGAGCGAAAACGGACTTTGCTCTCTTTCTCAGTGGTGACGGTCATCTCCCCCACGACGGTTACCTCGAGGTGCTCGAGCAAAACAGCAGGCGGCGACTTCACACAAGACCTCGAACGTGGCATATACTGCATGCGTGTCAGGGTTTCCGCGACGCAAGTGGGAGGCCCTTGCCACTTCGCGGGACGTCACTGTAAGGCGAAAATTTCACTCGTCGGTGCTTCCAGTAACCATTGCTCGTTGCAGCCTGCCCGTGGCCTTTACGGTCACGTACGGGGAAAAAAATGGCACCAATTTGCTCGATGATTTCCTGGCACTCTAAGACGACTCCGTGTCCGCCTCGGTGGAACAGAGGCTACTGGCCCCGCCACGGTCGTCTAGTGGCTAAGGTACTCGGCTGCTGACCCGCAGGTCGCGGGATCAAATCCCGGCTGTGGCGGCTGCATTTCCGATGGAGGCGGAAATGTTGTAGGCCCGTGTACTCAGATTTGGGTGCACGTTACAGAACCCCAGGTGGTCGAAATTTCCGGAGCCCTCCACTACGGCGTCTCTCATAATCATATGGTGGTTTTGGGACGTTAAACCCCACAAATCAATCAATCAACAGTGGCTACTGTGATCGGCTGCTGACCCGAAGGTGGCGGTTTCGATCCTGGCAGCGGTGATCCCATTTCGATGGGGTCAAAATGATAGAAACCCGTGTGACGTGCGATGTCAGTGCACGCTAAAGAACACTAGATGGTCGAAATTTCGGAGCCCTCCGCTACGGCGCCTCTCGATCATAATCATATCCTGGCTTTGGTACGTAAGACCGCAGACTTTATATCATTACTAAGACGACTCCGCTTAGAGGGCATTCCTGGCGACGCGTGGGTAGGCACGCGCACCGATACAGCGAGTCTAAACTGGCCAACCGCGGCCACGCATAAGATATCCCTTTGATGACGCTGCTTCTATGTACAACAGAGAAAACCTTGATAAATGAGAAGGCGGCAAAGACCAAGCACGCCCTCCGGTGGTGCCGGGCTTTCAACAGTGTGTTGTGGAACTATATCATCAAGAAGACAGTATGCAGTCCAAAGGGAAGCTTGAAGACTAGAAGTATGACGATATATACATACATCTAAAGGGTCTGGTACTGCTCTCGCATGTTTGAAAAGTTCACGACACCTCTGCTAAGCGGCATTAATTGACACGTTCAGGTAAATTTTTTACATATAAGCACGGGTGATCCTTGCCAAACACCCCAGCCTTACACCTCGTTTTCACCACTGGTGAAAACGCTTTGTTCAGGGTGTTCGATGGAAAGGGAGTTTAAGGACTCGTTTTCTTCATTCGACACATCAATTACAACCACTGACAATGAAGCCAAGGGAAATTATTTGTAGTAATTTTGATATAAATTGGAATTTAATGTCCACCAAAATGAAACTTACCCACCGACAAGGACCGAACATGCAACTTTCGAATAGCGCGTCCCGTGCTCTAACAATTGAGTTACGGCAATGGTCTCCTTCCCATACATTTTATCGGGTATGTCTGTGCATTTAAACACGGTAGTGTTAGCGCATGCACGTGGTGATGACGGCGAGTATAGAATTCTGCTTTCGCCTGTTGGCGTCACGTAGCACGTGATATTGTCTCGAGCTGGCAGCTGTCCAACACTCCCCTTGCATACTACTTTAAAATGTCAAGCCTGCCGAACGAGACAATAGCTGTGAATGAATATCGCCCGCCATCTCGGACTTACGGCGCTGCTGTTCCATTTTGCTCATAGGGAGCCTTCATGTGCGCGCCGCCAGCTTTCAATCTTAAATAAATCTCGTTTCCGTGCAATATTAAAAACAAATCACAGCATGTCAACGGACTGAATCTAGCTCTGTAAACAAAACTGAGCTCTATACATTCCCGCAACTTCGAGGAAGTGGGCTGTATAATTTCATTTGTACGCCAAGAAATAGTCAGACTAAAATATCAACTGAAATTATTAATCATTTAGCGCAGGATTTATTGCTACACAATCGCTACAGAAAGTTTTCTTTTCTTTTTTTTTCTTGCAGTGTTGAAGACACAATGCAACGAAGATACCTCCGAACATTATTTTTCGCCATGCTGGATATATACATCGTTCACCTACCTTGTCTACTTGTGGAGTGCAATCGTTCTTGTTGAACAAAATAAAAATAAACGCCAGTGATCAATTGCAAAAAAAAAAAAACAGAACCGAAACCGAAAGCACAGTACTGTAAGCGACACAAAAGTTGAAGCGGACAAAATGAGAGACAACGCGGCGAAGCCCGGTTTGAGGCTACCATTTTCTAAAATGGCGCCCAAAAAAATGTTCGTTTCAAGATGGCGTACGTGCGCGACAGCGACACTTCGCTGTGGCTACACAACAAGCTCGGAACAAGCAACGACCTGTGGTCGGGTTATTCCATTTGTTCCCAGCTGAACCAGGATGTGTTAAAAAACATCAGGGAGTGTTTCATTGACCTACAGTCTCAGGTTAAGCTAAAACTGTTACTTTCCTTCCTGCACATACCGAGGCGCAATGTCGAAGAGGTAAGACCTCCGTGTCAGCTATATTTCGCCTTATTAATAGCGTCCGCGAGATACTTACTTGCGTTCAGCTTGTTCTACATAGTATCCGTGCCGATGTACGACACTCTGCGCGCGTGTCTAAGCTCTGTGTGCGCAGCTGCGACCCGCTTGAGGTAGCACTGGGCTGGTTGGTAAACACACCAGCTGGAAAGGTGTCACAGGACTAGCGCGGCGGCTTGGTGCCGCCGAACGCCGCGATAGCCACTTACGTCGAGACTTCTCGCGTACGTCACAGCTGCCTTTGCACATGCTTCCGTGTGTTTTTATTGTAAATTTTTTACCCGGCCAGACTCGATTTGAACACACGGTAGTGTTTTCCCGTAGTGTTTTGCATTCGTAGTTTCTCATCAAGCCCTCATTTCCATAGTAGGCGCGGCGAGTGTGGTAGTGAACTTGGCGAGAGTTTCTCGTGGCGCAGAGCAGAATGGTTCGCGCGCGCTTAGTAAGATGAGATCGCCACTGTAAACATAAAATCGGTGTTTGCGCCCATGCCGTTCGATGTAGTGGTCCAGCGATCAGCTGGACCACTACATCGTGTAGAAAACTATCAGTGTAGAAAACAATCGGCGCGCTCGTTGTCTGTGTTCGTGACCATCTCCAGCCTAGCTGCTGGTTTTATGAGCTGCATAGCGCCTGGTAAACTATCAGTCACGGGGTAGGCGTTAGCACATTAAGCACTGCAACTGGTTCGTATTTGCACCCCAATTTAACGCAGTTGCACGACTGTTGTCACTATGTGTGCGTTTTGTGCTTTGGGGATGGTATATCTCGGATGTGCTACACCCACATTACACTTATATGAAACGCATTTCCGTGTTCAGTTGACGTGTTTCTACAGCCCGTCTTCTTCAGCCAACACTCAAAATATGATCTCCATGGCGCTTTTCTATCCATCGTCTTTTCGCGTATATGTTCACTTTAGGGGATTCATATCAGGGTAGGGTGCTTGTACATAGCACTTTGCATTACTGGTAAGTAGTTTTTGTACAGAAACAGCTGTTTGCTAAGCTGTTGTCTTGTGTGTTTGTAACCCTGCGCTCAGTGTCGGCTTTCCAGGTTTCACACTCATTTGGTAATTCAAGGAAATTAATGAAGGTAGCGCAACATTACTAGTGATGAAGAAACTTTAGGCTTTCGATTTCATATATTCCATTCAGTGGCAGTGCATACAATTGTACACATCTACTATGGAGGCACGACACGCACCACATATTTCTTTATATGGCTTGAAATGCAGTGCATGTGTTTGTACAGGCTTTCTGATTGGGCTAGTATTCATCATTCAACTTTACTGTACCACAGTATAGCTGCAGAGTGTCACATCGCTGGAGGCACTACCATGTTTGATGCTGGTTCAACATGCCATGTTTTAGAACCAACATCAGGAGTATTATCTTTCTCTGTTCATAACGAATGTAACCAAAAAACAAGCAGGGCATGCGTGTTGAGCCTAATGTATGACTCTTTTATGCGAGAATCAATGATGATAGATTGCAGAATAATTAAACATTCAATTGAATGGTGAATTAGCATTATAATTACTGAAACTTGTATAAGACGGCCTATCTTCTTATTTTCTTTTATAGAATGCAATATCAGTGTCTTGGAACTATCTTGTATAAATTTGACACCTTTTTAGACACTCCATCGTGGTCCATGTCTGTAGGGGATGTCGAGGTTTTATTGCGGCCATATATGCAGATGAGGCAGTGGGGATGAATTCGATAGTTATGAATTGAAATGCAAGTTGTTTTAAACTTCGTCTTCTGGTTACTGGCAAGAATCTAGCGTTAATAAAAAAGTGACAGGCCACAGGGAGAGGGAAAGATGTCCTTTTTTTTGTAGTTCAGTAAAGTAGGGGTATCTAAACAGTGAAATAGTGATTCATTTTTTTTTTAGTAAAATAGAGGTAATCTAGACAGTGAGAGTAGAATAGGAGTATCTAACAAGTGAAAGCCTATAATTAGCATGAATTCCATAATTGCTAGGGAGCACCTGTGTATAGTGACTAAATCTGTTGCAAGAGCAAAGGGTAGCAAAGTGTCAATCTTAAAATGATTGCTCATTGGTGAAAACAGTTATCTAACCCACCTTTATGCTTTTATGAAGCATAGCCAGCCTTGCCGTCGTACTTACATTCTAAAGCTTTGTTGATAAGAATCCGAAACAAATTGGACAGCATTTTTTGAACTGTCGCTCATCTTGTGGTATTTATTTTGCTTACGAATCCTAAACTTTGATTGCTGTATTCAGCGTATCTGACGGAGAAATCTGTTTGTTTTCATTTTACTTGCAGTTGTAATGAACTTCGTTGCAATTTGCAATATTATGTTGAGTAGTTATAAAGTAAAGATGTGTTAGTGATTTACTGTGCTGATGAACTCGTTTCAAGAATTTAGATGACGGCTAATATTATTGTCGATTTTGCAAGATAAGGTAGGATGACTTACTCAAAATCTAAGACCATTTTTGCTCAATTGCTCGCACTGTTTGAATATGCTAGTAATCTTTGTTCCAAACATGCTTCATGTTCTTGCATGCGACATAGTCATGAGAGGCACCTTAGGCAGTGAAGATACTTGGATTAAGAAAAAAGCAGAGGTAGTTTATTGCAGTGCATAATAGTGTATGCATCCTGAGGGGTGTGTTGACAGAAGTTTCGAAACAGCTCAGTCTATGCGAAAACCGAGAATTCATGGCCTCATGAACTCAGGTGTAGTTGGGATGGGTTAATGGAGTTTGGCTAGGTTAGGCTATACAAGTTTGCATTTTCTGATGTTCCTGTTATCATTCCCCATGGTGCCTTCTTGCCCTCGTGCAACACCAGTGGAAGACTGAGTTGGAGGACATTCTGGAAGTGGCATCGGCCGACAGCGACCAGTGGGTCAGTATGCTCGCTGAGCTGCTGCGCTCATTTCCAGGCAGCGGAACGCTGAATTTCAACATTGAGGAGAACTCCGGCGTCTTTGTCGACCTCTGCAATGACCTCCGAAAGCTAGGTGCGTCCCCTGTCGCTGTAAAAATCACTGAAAGACCACTACACGACTCTTAAAATATACTAGCTGCTGTTCCTTGCTCAAGCATGCTGTCATGTATTGTTCTACAATGGAACGCTCTTGTAGGGATATTTTCAAGCATTAAAGGGACTGACTACGGCCTAGAACTTAAAAGACATGACTCTACTAAGGAGATCGAGGGTCCGTTGCATTGACTCAAACCAACCCTTTTTTTTTCTTTTTTCGTGAGAGGTGGATTTATATTTTCATTTCTTCATTGGCTCGCCTCTGGCGGCAAAAACATGAACGATCTGATGTACTCAGCGACATGATCGTTGATTGCTATACGCAGTCAATATTTTTTGTTGCTATTCAAATGTTGTTTGTTCCTTTATATTAAAGTATATTACTCCATGATTGTACTACATATAGGCCTGCATTACTATTACAGGCACAGGCAACCTTGGGTGCAGGTGCACGAAACGCGGTACAAATACAGGGAAGGTATATCATCTCATTGTAACAGCTTGTTATTTTCAAAAATAGCTGAAAAGCTTGCAATAAATATGGTTAAGCATAGTTATAGGAACTCTTGCGAAAGAAGAATGGCGGCAGCTTTCACAAATTGTGTAAAGGTCTGGTGGCATTGCTATCATTTCTTATTCTTGATGGAGGAAAGGTACGTTCGTGTTTATAGCCTTCCAGATATAAAAATGCCTCTTGTAAAATGACTAGGTGCTTTTGGGAACAAACTGCCGCCACAAACACTACGAAGGGTGAGCTTTCTGTTGCGTCAAAAAAAAAAATTGGATTGAGAGAAATTGGTTGCCAGCCCCTTTAAGTTGTCATTACAATACTGAAGTGCGCTTTTTGCATGAGGTAAAATATTATGTATGTCTTGCCTTGAGAGAGCCTTTGTATTTTTGCAGCACTTATGCATTCACAGCTGATGGTCTCCCACACTACTGGTCTGTGTATCGCACCATTGGTTACCGTTCATTCACCTGCACCAAGTATTGAAGAAAGCACTGTACAAGATTTGATACAACTGCTTACAAAAAACGGCAGACTTTTTTGACATGATTTGTGTGATTGAGGAACAGTTACAGGTTGTCACTCAGGCGCCGGTGAAGGAGAAACTCATGGGAGGCTTCTTACTTACAAGAACAGATGCTTTATTTTAACATTTACAGTAGTTAAGAATCTAGGCATACAGTCGCACCTTTACTGTGATACAAGAGGGCCAGCGAAGGCCTGAGAGAGAGCTCCCAGCACACACGCGATGCACTCATTATGTCTCCCGGTCCGTGCACGTGCTTCTCAACCAGTGTTCTTGCGGCACGTGTACAGCGTCCTTGTACACATGTACACTGACCGTACTCTTTTGGGTTGCAGGCCAATTGGATGAGGTAAGGTAGTGATCGTCCTTTGCAGGCCATGACTTTGCATTGCTGGTTATAACATGATCAAGCACGCTGAGCAACCTAAAGTAACGAGAATGTTTTGGAGATGGAGCAAATTAGCTAAGGCTGAGCCTTAGCTAACCTTCTAAATAGCCATGGAATGGATTCACTAAAGGAGCTGATGGCCTCACGAATTCACCGCTGTGGAAATATTCAAAATCTGTCCAGTACGACCCGAGTTACAAAGATTTCTCTCATGCTGCAACTGCATTCTTTTCTCTCATCCCAACAAGAGCATTGGAAGCTTAGCAGGGAAGGATGACATGAGAGGAAAAATACATCATGCACGCCTTGTGACCTTGAGCGCATTTTTTTCTCTGAATGTGCGGCTTTTCCGTGCGATCGCGTGAACACGTAGACAAGTTGTCACGGCCTTCCATGGCGGCCTTAATACCGCTGAGCGTGCCATGCTCAAATCAGCCAATGGCTGATACTTGGCCCGTGGCGTAGTGATTTTTGAGTCTTTAGCATCATTTGTCGAAAGCAGAGAGCGATTTATAGCTGAAAATTTAGTGTTAACTCCAGCGCTCCACTGAATTATAGTATTTGGCACGCAAGTTCTCGGGAGCCTCAACTACCAATAGGCAGCGTCTTCTGAGCATGCTCAAAAAGTGTTGCAGTGCCCCTTTAATGCACAACATTGTATTAGGTTGAGCTTTTGTTGCCGTCAGCATTTGCTTTGTGGTGGCCTTTGTCCTGAATGGTGTGTCCTAGCTATATGCATTATCGCAGAGTCCACTGGTGGTTTAGTCAGGTTTGATGAGTGAATTTCTGGCCATTATGAACAATGCAGTTATTATCGTAACATATCTGGTTGTTGTAACATCAGTGTTTGCTGGAAAGTATGTACTTTTTTGAAAGTCCTGTAGAAGATGTACCCTATTTAAACGATTGTAGGTCGACCCCCCCCCCCCCCCCCAAAATCGCATGGCAAGAAAATTAAAATAAGAAAAATGTGAGCACTGGCTCACGTTATGCTGTGCTGCTTTGTATAACAAAAGCGCTTCCTTTCTCACACTAAAAAATGTTTTTACGATGTCTCCCAAAACAATGTCAAACTCCAGTGGGCCAAGGTGGCTTCACAGCAGTGCTTTAAGGTTGTGCAGGAAAGCTAGTTTTGCGGGAATATGTGGGGATTGTTTTCAGAAGGGCTCTACAATCGAAACTAGTTTTTGAATTCCATGTCGACCCCTGAGTTGAAATTTAGACAAAATAGCTCGACCTATATTTGTGTAAATATAATTTACTGCTTTTGTATAACGTGCAAAATATTGTGCTCTGCTTGCAGTGAAAAAGCACGCTGACAAGAACATCCTTCCCCTGGAGTGCCTGTACCTAAACAAACATGCCTTGACCTGCACTTGGTCGGCCAGCTTCCAGCAGCCCGTCAAGCACTTTGCTCTGAAGCGCAAGCCCAAATCGGCCGCCCTCCGTGCTGAACTGCTCCAAAAGTGTAAGTCGCTCACCTGTGTTTAACCTCCAAAAGGTTTTCTTGCGTCAGCACTGCTTTTTCTTGTACTTAGTCATAAGATGTACAGGTATATAAAGTTTAATCCAACTGACTGTAGCATAACGCTGCAATTTGTTTCTTTCACAAAGCATTCTCTTGCCTGAAAGCTTCTGCCAAGCTGTTTTGCTGCGACCTTCTGTATCTGTGGCTTACGAGAAACACATAGGGACAATATTTGAGTTTACTAACTGTGAATTTTCTCAGGCTTGATGTAGAGTGTGCATGTCAAATAATAGTAATACAGTCAGAACCCACAATAACGAAATCCTGAGGGAACGAAATTCGCACCGCAACGAAATATTTTCAGAGCATCGGCGTACGCCCATAGCAGTTAATGCATTTCGTAACTCGTGACTACGAGAAATATTCATACCGCAGTATCTCATTAACGAAAATTTTGAAACAGGAGTATGCAAATACAGTCGACCCCTCTTAACTCGAAGGGGATCCATAAAACTGTTCCATTGATCAGAAGTTTCATTTAAGCAAAGTACACTTATTTAGTGAACCAAGACCTTTATTCAAATTGCACAAAGCTCACCTTACTCATGAGAATGAGTAGGAAAAAAAAAGGAGCGAAGAGTGGTTTGTTTGGTGTCACAAAACGAGCACTCAAAAAGGGCGCGCCGCCAAGTTCTCGCGACGAAACGCCAGAGTGGCGCCGCGAGGTCAACGATAAAAAAAAGAAAACAAACATCCGAAGAATCCCCGGGCGTGCGACTCTCTCTTTCGGAAGCGTAGGTTCGCCGACGAAACCTCCTCGCGTCGGCGGCCGAGCAAGCCCTGGAATTTTCTCGATGGTAAGGGGCGTGGTGATGCCGGGTTAAGTCATCCGTCGCGGGCGGCCCCCGTATCGTCTCGCCCTTTCCCCCAGCCTTCGCTGCGCATCGCGCCGACGAAATGATGAGAACTTTCTGGCATCTCACGCGTAAGGTATTTAATCGAGCAGCCGAGATGAGAGATCAGGAGAAGACGGAAGTTAGCGCCAGAGTTCGTAGGGTATTCCGCCGTGTAGTCGGCGAAGGTTTTGTCTATAGTGACAAAGCAGGAGAAGAAGAGGATTTCCACCTGAGGGGTGACGACTCGAGCTACAGGCTCGAGCTACAGTGTGTGTCTACCGCTATCGAGCGAAGACGCGTGGCAACAGCTGCGTGTGTGAAGCCGACGTGTTTCCGGTGAAGAAGTTTGAAACTTGGAGAGTGGCCAATTGAAGACGCGAGGTTTCCTGGAAGAGAAACTTCGGGGGCAGCGGAACGACAACAACGCTGGACCTTGAGTGAGTGATTCTCGGAAGAGTATCATCCAGACTTTTGTTCCAAGAAATTTGGACTGAATAGGTTTTCTATCTCTTTAGTCTTTAAGTGTCTTGGTTGTTAGATGCATGCGACTGCATTGTAGTGCATATTGTTGTCTGTGTCCGTTGTTTCGAGTGTGGCTGATTTTACTGTGTAGTACGTTGTTTGATTGGTGACATATTGTACTCAACTATTGTGGAGTGTGCATACTTGTGTATTGTTTTTCATCTGCCATTATGGAGAATATAATTTTGTTTTGTTTATCAACTCTCGATTCTGACTTGTTCTTTGGGCCACAGCCGGCGTCCGCTGGCGCGCCAAAAAAGTACCGCTTCTAAATTGTCCACGCTTTCGTGGTGTGGTTCGGGGGGCCGATACTTCGGTTCTTGGAATTAGCCCGGCGATCGCCTCCCTAATTAATGGGACCGGTACATTTGGCAAGATTGAGTTGTTTTTTCACAAGGTGCGCACTTATGCCTGACAAACTAGCTAGAAATTCTGGACAAGCCTCATGCTCAAAATAGCGCTGCAAAAGTTCAACAGCCGCTTTAGCTGATCGGTCTGGTGGCACTACTGCCCCGCAGGGGCGCCTGTGAAAGCAGGCGTTTGGTGTGTAGCGACACCACGGACCCGAGCTAACGGGGGAGTGTCTACTCCCTCCCACGCCTAGCCGTGCGTGGCTTTGCCGTGTCCGGGGAAAAGGGGATCCTGGGGGTTGAGCCGACGCTGGGTGATTGGACCGTTAAGGCCCCCCGGCAGAGGCAACACACCCCTTTGGCCCCGGCTTCACGTAGACGGCACCCCTGGGCTGACCCACCCAGGGGAAATCGGCAGTCGCCTTTTCCTATCTCTCTCTCCCTACATCTTCGTCTTTATCTCTCACTTTTTATCTGTCCTGTCTTCTCCTCTCTTCTGTTTACTTCCAAACTTCCTGGCGGCTAGGGTTAACCCTGTGCAAATAGCCTACCTTGGTCTAGGTGCATTGGGTTATAGTAGCGTTGTACGGCTGGCGTCTGCAGGTTTTAGCACCCGCAAACTTGTAGCGTCCCCTCGTTGGGCTCCGTGGTGGGTGGCCGCCAACGCTTTCTGAAGAAAATTAAACTGGCATGCATAGAGCATTTCCATTATTAAGGGGGGGCGCGGCAAGTAAAGTGCCGATTTTGGTCAAAATATGCGATTTTCTGATTTATTTTTTTCCGTAATCTTCAGACCTTCAACTTCCTTGTTCTAAAATATTACAGCGAAACGTGCGCTACAAATCCCGCAAATAGTGTTTTTGCCGAGGCTAGTCGCCGAAAAGTGCGAAAAAAAAGCCCCTGAAACGGTGTTGTTCACGCCGCACAAACGCGCCAAGTTGTTGACTGTGGGCCGCCATTTTGGTAGCTTTGGAAAGAGGAGAAAGCCGGCTTCCCGATGGTCGCGGTCTCGTATTTCGCCGAGTGAAAATAAAAGCGCGAGGAGCAAGTAAAAAAACGAAAACGAAGAACGGCAATTGGCTGCGCGGGTCACGTGGTAGCAGGCGCGACCTCTTACTGGTCAAAGCTGCGCCGCGCACCTTGGCAACCTTGGAAGCGCGAGCGCATCTGCGGCCGCCGTGCCGAGAATCATCCGGCGTGCGTTTCGTTTTTTGCCAGTTTGCTGTTTTTGTGATAGTTCGCGTGCTTTTTTTACCAAGCTTTGTTTACATCGGTGGTCTCTTCTGAGTGCTTGCTCATACTGCGGTGCTATGTTGCCGCAAAAAAAGTTCCGGAGCGTCCACAAGTACGGCAAGCGTCGGAAAGCTTGGAACAAAGGGCAGACGACTGCGGCTGCCGTCCCAGTCGCAGTTCCGGACGGAGCATGCTCTTCAAGCGTCACGGAGCCTCTACTCAGACCCTTCGCTGATTGTTGTGAGGCCGAGAGTGTGGAAGGTGCCACATTGTCGTATGTCAGACCGCCGGATGCCGTCGACCGTGATGGACGCTCTCGCGAACCCGATTGCGGTGGCACCGCGTCGGCAGCCGTTGCAACTCCGGGCGTGCGTGCGTCGAACATTCTATCGCGAGTTTCGGCCCAGATTCCGAGCAGTGAAGAAATCGCGCAGCGGGCGCAGACAAGGCGGGATGTTTTGGATGCCGTAGCATCGAAGTCCGCTTCAAAGCGGAAGCTCGAGCTTCTGAGCGAAGGCTGCGACGAAAATGACGGCGGTAAGGACTCCACATTCTTCATTGTAAATAAGAAGATGCTGAACGGTCTGCTTTCGTCAGTAAAGTGCAACAAGTGCGACGAAGGGTCGATACGCCTCGAGACTACGCACTGCCTTGGACTCGCGGCGAGGATGGAACTTTTTTGTGACAATTGTGGCATAGTGAACAGTGCGTGGTCGTCCCCGAGGTGCTCCGGGCAACAAAAAACGAACCCCTTTGAGGTAAACGTGCGTGCTTTGAGGGCTGTGCAGTCAGTTGGCAGAAAACAATCTGCCATAAATGACATTTTTTCTGCGATGGACATTTCGCATCGAGCACTGCACCACAAGTCCTACCAGAGACTGCAAAGGAAGTACAGCCACCCTGCCACCACATCAGCTGCCACCCGCATTGAAGCAGAAAGTGCACAGAAGGTGCATGACATATACAAGGACCTAGGAGGAGTGCCAGGCAACATTGACGTCATTTACGACGGCACGTGGATGACGAGGGGGCACAGAAGTCATATTGGCGTGGGCTGTGTAATCGAGCCGTACACAGGCTTGGTCTTGGACCACTGTGTCCTGTCCAACTACTGCCAAGGCTGTGCTGTTGGCACCAAGCCTGGTGACGACAACTATGAGGAGTGGCTTGAGAAACACAAGCCACAGTGCCAAAAGAACACTGATGCTAATGCAGGCCAAATGGAAGTAGAAGCAGCTAAGATCATGTTTGAAAGATCGTTTACCAAGTACAAGCTTCGATACATCAATGTGCTCTGCGACGGTGACAGCCGTACGTACCTTGCCCTCACGCAAGACAAGGTGTATGGCTACATGGTGATTAAGAAACAGGAGTGTGTGAACCATGTGAAAAAAAGAATGGGCACTTCCTTGCGCAACCTTCTTGATGAGCACAAATCCAAAGGCCGAGGACTGAGCATGGGTGACAAAGGCCGGCTGACGCAGGGCCTGATAAAGAAGTTAACGAATTATTATGGTTGGGCCATTAAGAGCCACCCCAACGATGTTCCTGGCATGGAGAGGGCCATCATGGCCACTTATTACCATGTAACATCCACAGACCAGGATCCACACCACGACCTGTGCCCAAGTGGGACTGACTCCTGGTGCCCGCACAATCAGGCATTGGCCAAGGGAGAGCCGCTGCCGCCTCACAAACATAAACTGCCCCCTCACGTGCGAGTGGCACTGCTGCCAATCTACAAGCGCCTCTCGAACAAAGAGCTCCTTGAAAGGTGTGCGCAGGGAAAAACCCAGAATGCTGTGGAGAGTATGAACAGCCTCATTTGGTCACTCCAGTCCAAGAGCCAGTTCACCTCCCTTCGAAGTGTGGAAAGTGCAGTTGCAGATGCAGTCTGCCGTTTCAATGGTGGCTGCAAGAGTGCGCTGCAAGAGATCACCGCTCAACTGGGCTTCAATCCAGGAGACTGCTCTTTGCGGCGAGCAGCCGAAAAGGATGC